TTGTGTATGTACAGTTATTCTTTGAGTAACCTCTCAGGATGAATTTGTATTTTAAATAAAAAGCTGAATTATGCCCACCATAATTACTTCCGGTGTAACATTTGCCAGTGTTATTGCATCGTTTTCAGGTTGGTAGTACAGCAGATTTCAGGCTGGAATAAAAGTGCATTCAATTATTATGCATTGAATTAACCTTAGCTTTACACTGGCTCTAATTACTTAAAGTAATTAGTTAGATCATCACTGTTTAAAATGTTTGGTTAACCCTGGAAAAATCTGTTGTGTCACACTGGCTTTCAGCTAAATGTCAAATTAAATGAATTGCCAAAGTCTTGCCCAGGCTGTGAAGCGAGTGAAATACGGCTGTAAGTTGTTTGGTCTCACAGGCTAGTTTTCCTTGCCCGCTGTGCCTCGTTGTGTATCTGTGGGGATTTTCAGGTGTGACCTTTCTGAGGAAGGTCACGGAGGAATGACAGCCAGCTTGTGTTGAGGTTAGCAGTGTTCAGTACCTGTCCGACAATCTCCCCGCTTCAAACCGCGTCTCAAATGTTACGTTGCGGTAAATATCAGTGCTGTGCCACCTTCGCACTCGAAGCTCTTAATGCGGACGTCGGCAGGCTTTACGGCTGATTTGAGGCCTTGATTTAGTGTTTAGGGGGGCATGTTGTGTATCAGGGTGCCATGGTGTCTTAGTGACATCGCAACTCCAAGGTTCTGGGTTTGAATGCCCCCCCACCACTCTGTATATGTGGTACATCCCTCTTTCCTCTCACAGTCCAAAGACATGAGATTAGGTGATTTGATGGCTATACATAGAACACGAAGTAGGTTTGCTCTGCGGTGAGCTGGCAGTATGACTTTGGGTGGGCGGTTCTGGTTCACTGTGACCTTGAATTACATACAGGCAGGGGTGTTTATGGGGGTGGGGGCACAGGAACACTGCCCTCCCCTGTCACACCAGTTCAAAACAAATCATTGGCTAATGATCATGTTGGTCCCTCTGTATGAATTATGGTCTCCACCTTAAAAAATCCTAGAATCGCCCCTGCATACAGGAAAGATGGACTAGGGAATGGATCTTGCAGTTCATTGTTTGTATTTTTCTTACACTTAAATATGGTTTTGCTTTGGGAAACACTCCTATCGATCCATCCACCCATCCATCTTCCAATGGCTTATCCAGGGTTGCAGGAGGGCCCTGGAGCCTCTTGAAGGGAGCATAGGGGACATCCTGAACAGGATGCCAGTGCATTGCAGGGCGCACACTCACTCACACAGCTTTAGGGGAACATCTGTCAGTAATTCAAGCTTTCCAGATAAATCGGAGCATTGATTTTGCCTCTGGGTGCTTTTTATGGCACATGTGCTGTCAGAGGCGGTTGTCGCGGGGTCACAGGACTGTAGCCGGACTCTCAGCACTGATGTGACTGATGCTACTGCACACGGCCCCCCTCCCCTTCTATCCACCCGGCTGATGGGCAGCATCTGTGAATGGGGGGGGGATCCCCAGCTGCTGCTGGTGCTGCTTCATTCTTCAGGCCCAGTGACCGGTTGGGACAGCACACTTCCTAACAGCACACGGCCTCCAGCACAGCCGGGACGGTGGATTCCTAGGTCCCTTTGCCCCTGATTTACCATAAATTATTACTGATACTTAATCTTTGTTTATTACTGTTATTGTAAGACATGTTCTGGGCAGGTTGGCAGCAGCACAAATGTCACGCATCTACGTGGGGGCCCTCTGTTGGCCACAAACAGTCACTTCAATAGCCGGGGCCCAGAAATGGCAAACACTGCATGGCAGATAGGGTCACATGACACAAGGGATGGGAAGAATGGTGACTTCATTTGGGGAAGGGAGTTACTTGTTTGTAACGAAATCGAACATTGTGTAGGGCTACATTTGGGTGGGGGTTCTCACATCCAGGATTGGCACTGGCGTGCACAGATAGAGACGAGGTGGTGCTGAAGCACTTGCCCTTTTGCCCTCAGTCCAAAAA